AAGTTAAATATGAAAGATGGTGTAAAAAATGGTGTAAATGGGACATTTCTAGAGGTTCTTGATGTGGATGGAGGATGCTCTGACCAGTAGTTTGCTGGTATAGTTGAGGGATGGCAAGGAGCTGCATGATTGATATGAAAGGTGGAGATAAAGAGATCAGGATTTGGAATGCAACTGTTCTGAGAGTCAATGTAGTAAGGAGAAAACTCTTTTCATGGTCACTAAGAGAGCATGGGAGGCTTCTGCCTTTTTATGGCTTCTACAGCACACATACATCCTGATCTCCCTAATTATAATAGGTCAGATCTCCCACTGTAGGCTCTCATAGCATCCTGTGCCATTCCTTGGTAGCACTTGTCCCCTTTGCATTCCGCTTCTTCCTGTGTTACTTTGTCTCCAACCATACTCTACTGGTCAGCTCCGTGAGGGCAGGGCTCAAGTCTGTTTATGGTTACCACTAGAGGCCTGATACACGAAAATTCATGCGAGAATAGGCCTTCCTTTCCCCGGCTGCCGGCACCGGCCTCCCTCCTGAACCGGCTTGCCTCTGGGACCTGGGCTTCCCTCCTCCGGTCACCTGCAGGCACCTGGAACCCAGGCTTCTCTCCGCTGGTGCTGGCAGGCACCCAGGACATTGGCTGGGCTCCCCCCCTCTCCCCTCCCCACCCCCCCACCCCCTCGCCCGCCACCCATAGGCACCCGAGATCCTGACCGGTTTCCCTCCCGCCCCTGCTTTGCCAGGAAGGATGTCCGGAAGACACCTGGTCTAATTAGCATATTCCCCTTTTATTATTGGTGCCTAGTATAGTGACAGGCACGTAATATACAAATTAGCAAATACTTGCTGAACAAGTGTGACTAAATTAGAAACATTTACTGGATCCACTTTATCATGTAGAGATATAATATTACCTCCAACTTAATGATTAAGGTGGGCTTATTTTTCAAGCTCCTGGTAGCTTTTGGTGTAAAAGATGTTGAACTTAGAAGAATACAGAACAGTGAGGCAGATTAATGTGCAAACGCTGTCATTGTAAATAATGGGTTCTCCTTTCCCCCAGTTTTATTGGTGTAGCCCTCACTGTCTAGTGCAGTGTTCGGCAAACTGAGGCTTTCGAGCCACATGCGGCTCTTCGGCCTCTTGAGAATGGCTCTTTCACAGAATACCACGTGCGTGTGTGCAAGTACCGTACAGTGTGAATGAAATTTCGTGGCCCATGTGCAGAAGTCATTTTCTGCCTTTCAAAAGAAATTTCAATCGTTGTACTGTTGATTTTGGGCTCTGTTGACTAATGAGTTTGCCGACCACTGGTCTAGTGGAATTACAGTTTTGTTGATAAATATTACTACCTTTTTTTTTTTTTTTTTTTTTTAAGAATGGTCTCATATTTCTGAAGTCTGTTCAAGGCTTTCAATACTATTATAGTCATCATCTGAATCTGTGAGGACTGCAGTTCTTAGCATAGGCACAGACTCCTACCTCCCCTGAGATGACTCTCTACCCCTATGAGTGCAGATCAGTCACTGAGATTTCTGAGAAGGTGTTTTCACCCTTGTTTCTGATCTGAGATGCTTGGTCTCACTAAAATTTAAACAGGGTAGATGTGGATGGGAGGGTTCTTGAGGAGAGATCTCATTCTCATGGCTGTAATTCCTACTATAGTGCTATTTTGTCAGATAATAGTGGTGTCATTTTTTGACAAAGTGCTATTTGTCTTGGACTGTGATTGCTCTATTAGTGAACTCTATAAGTAATCTCTTAGAGATTTTACTGTTCTTATGGTAAGTTTATAGAACTGACTTAAAAATTTGCATTTATAAAAAACTTAAAAAGATTGAACTTTAAGGGATCATCTATATTAGGGCAGAAAGGTAGGAGCAAACATTCTATTTCATGTGGAAACCAGAACTAAAAAATTTCAGAAGTACTGGAACCTTTGAAAAATACTGTTTTTCACCGAAACTGGTTTGGTTCAGTGGTAGAGTGTCGCTCTGCGGACTGAGAGGTCCTGGGTTCGATTCTGGTCAGGGGCATGTACATTGGTTGCGGGCACATCCCCTGTAGGGGGTGTGCAGGAGGCAGCTGGTCAATGTTTCTCTCTAATCGATGTTTCTAGCTCTCTATTCCTCTCCCTTCTTCTCTGTAAAAAAATCAATAAAACATATTTTTTTAAAAAAGAAAAATACTGTTTTTCTACGAATTTGGTAGTATCTAGGAAGTATCAAGTATATAACTAGAAAATATTAACAAGGGGACACCTTGATTAAAGTTCTTTAAAATATGAAGTATTTTTTTAATTCAAAAGTTAATTTGTAAATATTAACTTTTAAATGTTTTACTACAAATTGACAAGCTACAGAATTTTTAGGAGTCTGCTTGTTTTCTTTTTTTTCTGATTTCTGAGAAGCAGACAAAAACTTGCAAACTGAAGAAAGCATCTCTGTTATAGTAAAACAAAGAAAGCTGTTATGCTGTTACTGTCCTTCATAATAAGCAGATACAAGAAGCACTCATATTTATTAAAAGAGCTCAGGGATAGTATCAATTTTTGTAAAATAGTCCCTGAGTTCTTAATATTATCAATTTCTCTTTCACACATAATTTTTCATGTTTGTTGATTTCTCAGAATTGAAGATTTGTTCACTTTGAGGCAAGTGCTGTATATTTTTTTAGATTCTTATATTTCCACATGTGAAGTATGTAGGAATATGAAACAGGCAAGAAATTAAGCCAGATTACCTATTGCACAAAAGCTTTACTACTGTGAAACAGCTGATGTGTTTGAAAGTCTTAGTGGTTCTCTTAAGCAATGGCTGAAGGTGATTGGAAATTGTCACATCATGTTCAGAATGGGTTTTTTTATTTCATACTTGATACAGTTTCTCGTTGCCTTTAAATGATTGACCCTTTTCCTAGCAGTTTTGCTCAGTGGGTAGAGCCAATGGACTGAAAGGGTCCTGGGTTTGATTCTGGTCAAGGATATATATCTCGGTTGCAGGCTCCTGGCCCTGGTCGGGGGCATGCAGGAGGCAACCAATCCATCTCTCTCTCTCACATTGGTGTTTCTCTCTTTCCCTCTCTCTTCTACTCTCCCTAAAAATCAATGGAAACATATCTTCAGGCAAGAATTAACTTAAACAAATAAATGATAGACCTTTTGAATAAAGAAATATTGTACCTGTGCCACCTTTTAGATAAAAAATCAGCAATAGTAACCCATTCCATTTAGGATTAGGCTGTATTACTTGCATATACATTTAAATGGCTGCTACATTGGCCTCCTAGTTGTTTCTTGGACATGACACACACACTCCCCTTCAGTGCTAACTCCTCAACCTGGAACACTCACATAGCATCCCTAAGGCCCACCCACTCCCATACTTCCTCCTGTAGAGCTTTGCTCCAATGCCACCTTATCAGATAGGCATTCCCTGACACCCTCCCTGCCCCCTTTGTTTTATTTTTCCACACTACTTACTGCCTTCTGACATTGGTGTGTTTTATTTATTTGTTGGCCTGGCTTTCCCCACTCAGTTCTATAACATTCAATTTGTTATACTTCAGTTTTTCAAGAGGAAATAACAAAGATATATTTGAAGTATACTGTGTAATCCCACCCTGATTCTAATCCCTTCCCTTATTCCTCAAGGAAGTTATTTTGAATTTATCAGTCTCATATATTTTTTTATAGTTTTGATATATGTGTATATACCCATAAAATAGCATTATTTTGCATGTTTATGAACCTGATACAACTATCTAGTTTCAGCATGCACATTTCTATCTGCAATTTGCCTTTTAAATTTAGTGTATATTTAGTGATTTCAATCATTGATTTTTACTATTATATAGCATCCTACTAAATGAATATAGTTCATTTATTCCATTGTGAAAAGTTTAGCTGTTTTTAATATTTTTGCCATTACCAAAAAAAGTATTTTGTATGTTAATTTTCAAGCATTTCTGTAAAAAGTGTTCCTTGAAGACACATTGCCAAGAATAAGTAAATACATGTGCTATTTATTTATCCTTTTGTGTTACTAATATTTTAACCCTCAACAAATTCTAAAGAATTCTGTAAAAATATTCTGAACTTCCCCTTCCTTGTTGGCATTTAAGAAATGATACAGCTTAATGAGCCTAAATATTACAAAAAATCTAGTGTGTGGGATCTGGAGTCTGAGCCAACACAAAGGAATTGCTTATAACACAGATAACTATTTTTGATTGCACATAATCTTAAAATTTAGTGAATATAAAATAAGTTTAATGTATCAGTTTATAACTAAAGCCCAAACTGTGTCACTTTGCAGAGTTGTAGAAAAGAGCATTTTCTGCAGTAGTAACTATTCTTTTTTCTCATCCCCTAGGTTGTATCAGAGTAAGATGGACGGTAGCTTTGATTGTGATTGTGGTGAGCTGGAGCCACCTGATCACTAACAAGAGACATCTGTTAACCAACAGCTGCCAGGGCTTCCTGTTGAAATAAACAGCAACAAAGGAAGACAAGAAGCAAAACGGAAATAGTGCTTACCAGCACCTTAGAACGATGCTGCTCAGGACCAGTCCAACACTGAATGTATCTGCACTGTGAGGAGAATGTTCATAGAAGCCTATTATGTGCATATTTATTCACATTTTTGTTAAATGTTAAATCGTTTAGCACAGTAAATCTGAGTGCATACTATGTCATTTCATTCCGTTTGAGTTTCTCGAGTGTTTTCTTTAAATGTCTGCAGAATTGCTGCCCTTTTCTTGAACTATGAGTACTCCAATCTTTTTAATTCTCAATATGAGGAGAGCTTTTTGAGCTTTAAATCTAAGGGGAACTCAACGGGCCTGGTTGGCATATGCAATGAACATCAAGAAACCATCTTGCTGTGGAAGCAAAATTGTTTTTCTCCCTTTTTGAAAGATCCTTCCTTTTGATGCCAGTTTTCTTCCTTGTTTACACAAGTTCAACAATTCGAAAGGAAAAGGCAATAGTAAGGGTTTCAAAATGGCAGAGAAATTTGAAAGTCTCATGAACATTCATGGTTTTGATCTGGGCTCTAGGTATATGGACTTAAAGCCATTGGGCTGTGGAGGCAATGGTTTGGTTTTTTCTGCTGTAGACAATGACTGTGACAAAAGAGTAGCCATCAAGAAAATTGTTCTTACTGATCCCCAGAGTGTCAAACATGCTCTACGTGAAATCAAAATCATTAGAAGACTTGACCATGATAACATTGTGAAAGTGTTTGAAATTCTTGGTCCCAATGGAAACCAGTTAACAGATGATGTGTGCTCTCTTACCGAACTGAACAGTGTTTACATTGTTCAGGAGTACATGGACACGGACTTGGCTAATGTGCTGGAGCAGGGCCCTTTACTGGAAGAGCATGCCCGGCTTTTCATGTATCAGCTGCTACGTGGGCTCAAATATATCCACTCTGCAAACGTACTGCACAGAGATCTCAAACCAGCTAATCTTTTCATTAATACTGAAGACTTGGTGCTGAAGATAGGTGACTTTGGTCTTGCGCGGATCATGGATCCCCATTATTCCCACAAGGTATGTGGAAAGCCAGCAAAACAGACCTTTATTGATGTACATCATTAGGAATATGTACTTTTGTATTTCCTTTATGTACTATGGCAGAATTTTTAGTTATTTGTATTAAATTTTACATAATACAGTACCTTTTCTTATTATTTTTTATCCTTACCTGAAGACAGGCTTAGAAATCAATAATATTTTAGGTTTTCACAATTATAGTTATTTTTTTTGTTTGTTTTATAGATCCAGGATTCTTCATGTGCTATATTTTTATTTCTTTTTCAGGGTCATCTTTCTGAAGGATTGGTTACTAAATGGTACAGATCTCCACGTCTTTTACTTTCTCCTAATAATTATACTAAAGCCATTGACATGTGGGCTGCAGGCTGCATCTTTGCTGAAATGCTGACTGGTAAAACACTCTTTGCAGGTTAGAAAGTTAAAATATATGTAGTAAAATTTCGGAGATAATTTTTTATGTATTTATGAAGAAAGATTTATCTAAGACTTAAAGCAATTTATTGTAGTATGGAATATTAAAATGTAAAGATAAAATGGTGTTTTTTAATATTTTAAAAGTTGAGAAAACTTATTCACATATTCACTTAATTGTTTACTCAGTTAATTTAGTGAGTATTATAGTGTTCTGTCCTGGCTGGTTAGCACAGTTGGCTAAAGCATCGTCTCTTTATGCTAAGGTTGTGGGTTCAATCCCCAATCAGGGCACATACAAGAAGCAACCAAAGAATGCATAAATAAGTGGAACAATAAGTCAATGTTTCTCTTTCAAACCAATACTTTTTTAAAAAAGGATTCTAGTGTTCTTTTGTATATATTTCTTAAATATAATTTTGTATTTCTTAGATCCATGACGCTTGTTGGTAACCTGTGTCAAATGATATCTGAATTGCCTAGTTTTGTCAGTTTTTGTCACTTGCTGGTGATTTTTAAAAAAAATATATTTTATTGATTTTGTACAGAGAGGAAGGGAGAAAGACAGAGAGTTAGAAACATCGATGAGAGAGAGTCATCGATCAGCTGCCTCCTGCACACCCCCCACTGGGGATGTGCCCGCAACCAAGGCACATGCCCCTGACCGGAATCGAACCCGGGACCCCTCAGTTCCCAAGCCGACGCTCCATCCATTGAGCCAAACCGGTTTCGGCCTGGTGATATTTTTTAGCTATTACTAAAAATCTAGTAATTCTTTCTTTGCCTGCCCTGTCCCAATCATCCCTGTTGTTTGAGCTGCCATATCCTGTTGCCTGGCTACTGTGATCTTTCAGAATCAAACAAACCAACTCAGAAATACTTTGCTGAGGTTAGTGCTATTGAGGGACTCTAAAGTGTGTGTGAGAGAGAATTTAGTCAAGATGGCAAGAGGCAAATAATCCATGAAAAACACCAACTATCGTACAACAAAGTTTTGAGTTGGTATATATCAGTGATGGCTGGAATGGAAGACATAAAGGAGTCAAAGGATTTTCACTATTTAGAAATAGTGAAGAGAGAGAAAAAGTGGTATCTATTTATGGATAGCTGTATAAATAAGGGCCTGAGCTTGGTATACATGAATCAGTGAGAAAAGTTTGATGACAACAAGGTGTCATATTTATTACTGGTTCAGATGGGGAAAGAACAACTTAGAAAGTAGACAGGAATTGCCATTTGAAAAAAGTAGGAAATAGTAGAGTACTGAAGATTTTTTTGAGTTAGAGAAGTGATGTGTGGGTGATTTGCATCTTTTTCTCTTTTTTGACTTACCTTTTTCCTCTGTAACAAATGTTACAGTGGGCCTCCCACCATTCTAAGTTTGTGCTAAGGGCAGGGAAGGAAGAGAATGGAAGAATCTGCTTACAAAAACAATAAAAGATTAGGGTACATAAGAAAGCTTTATTGAAAGGATGGTGTATATAAGTGCCCTTAATTTTTTTTTTATACTGATACTTATAGCACTAAGCTTAACTAACAATCTATTGGAATTTTTTCCTCCTAAATTTATCTGGAATTTCTTTCATGATGTGTGATAGTGATTGAATTTCATTGTAGAAAACTGAGAAAATAACGATTACTGGAAATGAAATTGTTCAGTGGGTTAAATTTTTTTGAGGAACAATACTGTTAATTACAAGTTATATTCCAGCATATATAAAGTAGTTATTACATTATTTGTTGTTAAGTGACAAATTACCTCAAAACTTAAGTGGCTTAAACAACAAATATTATCTCTCAGTTTTTATGAGTCAGGAATTTGTGAGTGGCTTCGCTAGCTGATTCTGGCTCAGATTTGCTTAGTCACGATGTTGGTTGGGGTTATAGTCCTCTGAAGCTTGTTGGGGATAGGAGATTCCACTTCTAGATAGCTTACTCACATGACTTTAAGCAGGAGGCCTTACTCAGTTCTGACTGTGAGTGTCTTCACAACATGGCAGCTGGCTTCCCCCAGTACTAGTGTCTAAAAGAGAGAGCAAAGAAAGTTAATGTATCTTTTTTTTTTTTTTTTTTTTAAGAAATCAAACTTATTTTTTTAAAAACACATTTTATTGAGTTTTTTTTACAGAGGGGAAGAGAGGATAGAAAGCTAGAAACATAGATGAGAGAGAATCATCGATCAGCCACCTCTTGCACACCCCCTAGCGGGGATGTGCCTGCAACCAAGGTACATGCCCTTGACCAGAATCGAACCTGGGACCCGTCAGTCTGCAGGCCAATGCTCTATCCACTGAGCCAAATCGGTTTTGGGTAATGTATCTTTATTAAGAAAGATATTTTTTTAGTATGTTCACAGGATCTAATATAGAACATTTTTTTCCCTCCTGAAAGATACCATGTAACCATTACACTGTTACATGAGAACTCAAGTTTTTGAAGAAACTTTAAACTGTTTTCTAAAGCAGTTGTACCCTTTTACATTCCCGTTAGCAGTGCATGAGTTCCAATCCTATATAATAAAAGGTTAATATGCAAACCAACCAAACTGTGGACCAACTGGTCACTAGGACTGCATTAACCATCAGGGGGCAGACGCTCAACACAGGAGCTGCCCCCTGGTGGTCAGTGCACTCCCACAGGGAAATATTATTCTTTCTCTGTTGAATTGCTCTGACCCCTTTATAAAAAATCATAAATGCAAAATATATTTTTGTTACTTAGACTCAAAAGTGACACACTGTCACTTGAGCTTTATTTCATGTATTAGAAGCAAGTCACTAAGTACACCTCACACTTAAGGGGAGGTGAATTGGATATCACCCTCTGAAGAGAAGACTACCAAAGCATTTGTGGATGTATTTTAAAGTTACCATAATAATATTTTATCAAAAAAGCAAAAATTTAACTTAAAATGTAGGTAATGCTCCAAGTTGTATGAAATGGGGTCAGAATTTACAGCTGAGTTGATTAAACAAAGATAATGTATTTTTAAATGTTCATTTAGTATATTCAGATATTGCTTACATATATCAATATAAAGAATTTGATAAAAAAAAAAAAACCACCTCTAAATAGCATAACTTTTATTTTCAACTCATGTAAACCATTTAATGGAATTATTTGTGAAATTATTTGAAAGATCCAGCTGTAGTTTCCTTCTAATGCTTTATTGATAGGTTAGTGAACCGTTCTATAAAAGCAGCATGAGAGATATCTAAGTGTTTGTTAGGGATAGTTCTCTCAAATGAACTGAGCAATAAATGGCAAGGACTAAGCATTCATTGGAAATCTGTGTATTTTTAACCTATAAGAAGTGTCATGGCCTTATTTTTGGTACAACTTCATATATCAATTGGATCTCTAATAGTTTCTCAAAACTGTCTCTTTCTGCTATCTTCCTCATCATAGTAAAACAGCCACTTCTTAGTTGTTTAGGCCAAAATCATCATCCTTCACTTAGTCAGTTCAAATCCCGGCTTTTCCTTCAAAATATATTCAGAACCTAACTGCCTGCTATTATCTATATCGCTATCCCCCACCCTTCAGTTCAGTCAGCTAGTATTTCTATCCTGGTCTATATACGACCCTCTATCTAACTTTCCTGCTTCAATATTTGCTATCTATAGTCCAGTTCCCACATAGCAGTCATAGTAGTTCTCTGAAAACAAGTCAAATTATGTCATTTCCCTGCTTAAACTAATGGCTTCCAATCCAGCTCAGGATAAAGCAGACCCTTTGTGTTCTATCTTAGGCTGGGATCTGCTCCACTATCTCAGCTACACTTGCCTAATTGTTAGACATTCCAGGCCTACTCACTCCTCAGGGCCTTTTGGGCCTTTTCCCATTTTCCTGGAATTTCTTTTATCTATATGAATATATGGTTTGTTCCCTAATTTCCTCAACTTTCAACTTCTCAGTGAGGTATTTATTCCTTCATAATTTTCTATGTATTAAACCTAACCTCAACAATCCTGTGTCCCCCTTAGCATATATTTTTCTTCATAGCATTTGTCATCATTTGACATAAATGTTTACATTTGTTATCTGTTTTCCTCCACTAGATTGTAAACTCCATGAAAGTAGGGACTTGGTCTGATTTGTTTCATAGCTATAGTCTAAAGTGTCTTGCTTACAGTAGGCATTCAAGAAAAATTGGAATGCTGAATGAATTTCTAGAAATTAGTGGAAAAGCAAAATGAATGGTTGTGGGTTTTGTTTTTTTGCACCCATTTAGCCTAAAGTTTCCTCTTATTTAATAGCGATCCTGAAATGCTAACTGAGCCTAACACATAATTATAAAACTTTTTGTTTTGCAAATCTAGTTCAACCTTTCATTTTATTGATGATGAAATGACAACATCATCATGTTAAGTATTCCCAAAGTTATAGCCAATTAGGTAGTGGTGTAGCTAAGACTAGAATCCAGGTCTCTTGAATCCCAATTCATTGATTTCCCCTTCTTCTCCCCCCCCCCCCCCCCACTCCTGACTATTTTGATACCTTAATATGAGGCCAGTTTCTTATGGAAATAAAGAACTAAAACTAAATATATTAATAACTAGAAATTGAAATAGATAGGCTTTTTGGCAAGATTAATGTTATTAAAAAAACAATGAAACCTGCTGATTAATGATTGAGTTAAAACCATTTCTTCCACAATGGTCATTACAGTATTAAAGTTAACTTCTTAGAGCTTTAGAATGTTTATTACCAAATATGTAAACATTGAGGAATGTGTGTTTATATTTGTTGTGTTTGTTTGTTTTTATCTCATTCAGGTGCACATGAACTTGAACAGATGCAGCTGATTTTAGAATCTATTCCTGTTGTTCATGAGGAAGATCGTCAGGAGCTTCTCAGCGTAATTCCAGTTTACATTAGAAATGACATGACTGAGCCACACAAACCTTTAACTCAGCTGCTTCCAGGAATTAGTCGAGAAGGTATTGTGACTCAAGAATATCATGCTTCTAACCTTAGAGTCACAAAGTGTGTGTGTGTGTGTGTGTGTGTGTGTGTGTGTGTGTGTGTGTGTGTATGTGTGTGTAAGCAAGCAGGATCTGTGTATGAAGCTTTAGCTTTTTATCCTTAGATGTATGACTTTCTCTTAAATAGTCTTTACATACTTAAGGCATACCTAATACTAAAACTCTCACTTTCTCTTTCTTGGCCTGGCACTTAAGCTGGGATCTTTCTTTGCTCCTTTGAATCGTTTTCCACATTTCAGAAAATGTATACCTCTCTCCTGGTTCTAACTCCTTTTACTTTTCCAGTTTATACCTCTGACTATCATAGATGAGCATATTGGATCACTGTCTCCCTAAGCTGGAATGGAATTGTGTAAGGGTTATATAAATAAGTGTAGGTATGAGTAAGAATGATTTAGGTATGAAAAAGTGAATTTAGTTGGGTGGGTGGGGAGGGGAGAAGCAAAGGCTTCAGGACAAGGAGGAAGTGGAGGAATGAGCAAAATTGTTTACTGGGCAAAACACATTACATAAGTTTGCAGATTGATGTTAGTATTAGGTGCTAAAGTGGAAGTTTATGCAAGCTTGAAAGTAGTAGGAACTTCGGGAGAATCAAAACTTCGTTTACCACTAAAACAATTTCATATCTAAAAATACTGACATCTTTAGATTTGATATAAATAAGATACAAAAATCTTTAACTCTTATAGTAATCTGTCATAAAAAAAATTTCTTTTAGGAAGTGCATTAGACATGAAAAATACCTTCTTTAAAAGTTGATTGTGTCTTACATCTTTAAACATTATATTGTATTAAAAGACATCAGTGTCAGGATTGTATAGTTCTGTCATGAATCACAAAGTGAGAGAGATGTAGTTTCCTAAACATTTTAAACATTATCTGAATTATACACCCATTATTCATATGAGGTGGGTGTGTGTCAGTGTTTTAAAGTAGCAAGTGTTTTGAGAAGTAGTTAGGCACTAGTTTGCAAATCATGTTGACATTGTCTCCTCTTCCCAGATATGCTTGGAACTCATATAGTAAATGCCTAAATAAAAAGGTAGCTACTGTATTTAATTTCAACAGGTTTTGTGGGCTTTCTTTTAAGTAGTTCTACATTCCTAACCAGCTTCGCTGTCCTCATAATCAGATTCCATTGCTAGTTCTCCTGCTTCTAACCTTATAGCCGCTGTCACAACATCCTGCTCATAACTGAATAGCAGTCACATAGCACTTGACTATGCCTCAGAGTTTTCTGTGGGAACTCTTTAAAAATGCAGACTATTAAGTCAGAATCCAGAGGTGGGGTGGGGACCAAGGCAGGTATCGTTATCTTTAAAAACTCCTACAGGTATGGCCTTGCCAGCCAAGTTGAAAGACACTGCTTAGGGATCAAGTGGTTAGGCTCAGCAGTGTGTTGTTGCTCTATTGCTTTGTCTTATCAAGAGAGACAAGCTAGAAATATTGGATATTGCTGTTAAAGCACTGTAATCTAGCTAAATTCGAATCTTCTTTTTTGCTACCCTCATTAAGGTGGGACAATGTCTCAGTCAGCTACAAACCAATCTGAAAATTTGGCTCACGGCTGGAATTTATTCATAATGTGTTGAATGAGTGTCTTTGATAATGGATTCATTAAGTTAACCATTGGGCAAATATCCTTGATATTCACAAGTGGCAGAACTGTGCTCACTAATGCATTGTTTAAAAATATGTTCTATATGAATTAACACATTAAGACTATTAGGACCCTTTCTTTAGATGAATACCCTCTTCATTTTCCTCTATCATATTTACCTCTCATCCTCCCTTCCTCTATAATTTACCACATATTCCTTTTTTTTTCTTTTTTAATATATTCTATTGATTTTTTACAGAGAGGAAGAGAGAGGGATAGAGAGTTAGAAACATCAATGAGAGAATCATTGATCAGTTGCTTCTTGCACACCCCTCACTGGGATGAGCCCACAAGCAAGGTACATGCCCTTGACCGGAAACGAACCCAGGACCTCTCAATCCTCAGGTCGACGCTCCATCCACTGAGCCAAACTGGTTTCGGCCACATATTTCTTTTATTTATTTATTCATTTATTTAATTATTTTTTAAAACATATTTTATTGACTTTTTACAGAGAGGAAAGGAGAGGGGGAGAGAGTTAGAAACATCAGTGAGGGAGAAACATCGATCAGCTGCCTCCTGCACACCCCTTCCTGGGGATGTGCCCACAACCAAGGTATATGCCCTTGACTGGAATCGAATTCAGGACCCTTGAGTCTGGAGGCCAACACTCTATCCACTGAGCCAAACCGGTTAAAGCTACCACATATTTCTATATCTTAGACTCATTTCCTCTAGAGCAGTGCTGTCCAATAGAACTATCTACAATAATGGAAATGCATATACTATTTATGCATACACTTGGGAGCTCAATGTGGCTCCCGGTTTATTTCTTCCTCTTTTTATTAGTTGCCTACAGTTCCCAAATGCTAGGGATCTTACAATATATTCTTCTTGTGCAGTTGAATATATCTCCTCCTTCTCTCTAAGAATGGTGATTGTGCTGGGTCAACCAACCATAATTCTGTGCCTTCCGGTCTCTTTTGCCTTGAGACATGTGGGCCCAGAGGTAATTAAGACTTTTTTTTTTTTTTTTTTCCCCCCCAGGAGAACCAAGGATAGTTTGATCTATTGTGAAATGACCTCCTAGGTTAGGATAATAAGGGGTATGAATACCAATGAGCCTTAGGTTTTTTTCTCTAGTTTTTATTAGACTGATTTGAGGGTTGAATAAGATAATGTGAATCTTTTCTAGAATATAGCTTAGTTTAGAGAACGGCTATCTGTTCATTTGAGACAGAAGGTAAGGATAATAGGCTGTGTGACAGATCATAGTGAAGAAGCAAGAATTGAGATAAATGTGAAGTGGGTTTACCTGTTGAGAATGACAGGGAAGATTGAGAGCATGAAGGGATAGTGTAGAACATTGCTGAACACAATAGCAAAGGCTAAATTGAAATTTTACAGTATGAATTTGTAATGAGACAGATATATATGTGATTTTCCATCTAGCTTTCATCAGTTCTATATGGTTAGGAAGCAGACAAAGTAGATGTTGGAAATGATTCAGAGTTGAAGATTGGTGTAAGTTATAAAGCATACGAATGTGTGGTGGTGTAAGAGCAGTCTTTAAGCTGGTGATAGTGTGGTTCAGGTGGGGTAAGGAGCTTAGGAAGATCTAACAGTCTGAATTAGTGGGAAGAATTAGGTGTATGGAAATTCCACCAGGGCCCTAAAATGATCAAGAGCATTATGTGATATGCTGGCATGAGATTCGTGTGAACAGAGATAAACAAATTAGTATAACAGCTAGTCAGTGAGATGAGGGAGGAAAGGAGAAAGTTTTTATTAAGCACTAGATACTAAGTTTTTATAACTTATAAGATATCTCTGTCCATTTTATACATGAAGAAACTGAAGTTCAGCAGATTTAAGTAACCTAGTGATTCAGTGAAATTAATGAGTTGCAAAGCTGAGATTAGGACCTATGTATTAGGTTGAGCCACATGAAATTGCTGTTACTTGACCTTTTTTTGACTGACAGAAATGGTAGTTTCATATGGTTCATATTAATATATTTATTTTCTTTTATAATTGACCATAAAGTGAGATTTGGAGTACATTTCAAATTTTTGCTATGTTTATTGAATAAATGTGTCTTTTCTTTTTATATATATATTAGGCTAGTTTTATATCTCTGACAAAGGTAATTAACTTACCTTTTAATTGCATAGACCTTTTTTATTTCCTTTATGAGGTATTAGACCTTCAGTGTAGTTAAGGAGTTTTATCTCTTTCTTTTGCAGCACTGGATTTCCTGGAACAAATTTTGACATTCAGCCCCATGGATCGGTTGACAGCAGAAGAAGCACTTTCCCATCCTTACATGAGCATATATTCTTTTCCAATGGATGAGCCAATTTCCAGTCATCCTTTCCATATTGAAGATGAAGTTGATGATATTTTGCTTATGGATGAAACTCATAGTCACATTTATAACTGGGAAAGGTAAATTGATCCTAAATTAGAAAAATATTTATTGTATTTTTAATAAATCACAATACAGTGAAGTTTATTTTAAAATTATATATAACACAATATAGAATTCTTAAAAAATGTAGTAAAAGTCTCACTAGGTTTAGAAGATGGATGAGAAGAATCAACCCTATACAATAAGATATCTCCATAAGTATCTCATTTTTACATATAATTCATTATGTCAAAGGATATAAATTATCATGATATTTATATTAAAATGTTTTTTTCTCATGACAATTTATTTGGGAATGGTTAACATAAGTTCAGTATAAGGAACTTTTCTTATCTGAACCATATAAAACATCAAAATGTATATTGTTACACATTTTAGTTAAAAGGATTTCTTCCCTCTGCTGCCTTTTAGGATTTATAAATTCTAGAGAGAGTTTGGATATAAGTATCTTAAAAGTGGGTTGGTAACATATAATAATGAATCAATATTATTTAAAATCTTCAGGTGATTTTGTTATTTAGTCAGATTTGGGAATCCCAATGACAATCTTAAAAACTTCTGGAATTCATATATTTCTGTGTTTAAAAGGAAAATTATTGCCAATTAAAGAAGTTGTTAATGTTGAAATTAGTTTGTTTACTCATGCATTTTTTTCCTCCTAAAATGTGGAGGTATTTCTGAATATGTTTTACATACATCTGCCAACATCCTTTTTTTTCCTTCCACATGGACATTTCTACCACATATATACACATTCTTTCCAAACATACCCAAATGTATTCCAATCCCTTTGTTTTTTTTACCATACTTAGTTGAATCACCTAACCTCTTTTCTGTTCCCACTTTCCCATCTCCCCAGTTGTTTTTGTGTGTGTGTCTCCATCTGCCTCTACCTGGGTGCGGTGTAGTCACCTTGCTGTGATGTCAGTAGAGGATACTGCATTCAGTAGCACATACACATGGGGAGTTTTTTTCTATTCACTGGTGATGAGGTCCATGAAGCCTTCCTCTCTTTCTAGTCTGCCTATTACCAGTAGAGAGAAAATCTGTAAGACTTGATTGAGATTAGAGATCTGCATTTAGTGGCCATAAAGTGTTTTGTCTCTGTAAACCTGTGTTGGAATTAAGCTATCGACATGTCAACCACTCAGATGTTCACCTGCAGTTGTATTTAAGGTGGATGAAAAATAGAAAAAAGAGGAAGTAAGTGTGAAATTATAATTGGTCTTATTTAAGAATGGAGGTCCCAGAATTTTTATAGTATATATTTCATTAGTAATTACCAAATATTGCCTCATTTTTCTTTATGGTTACAGATCTTACCTGCCTATTAAGATTATAAGTTTCTGAGGGCAGGGAAGACTTATAACTTTAGACTCTATTATCTTTCATAGACCTTTTACAGTGCTTTCACCTAAAGGGCACTCAGTGAATTTACAAATGAAATTTGACATCTGGACTAACAGTAATGTGTTGATTCTTTTTTCAGGTACCATGATTGTCAATTTTCAGAGCATGATTGGCCTATACATAATAACTTTGATATTGATGAAGTTCAGCGTGACCCAAGAAATCTGTCTGATGTCACTGATGAAGAAGAAGTACAAGTTGATCCTCGAAAATATTTGGATGGAGATCGTGAAAAGTATTTGGAGGATCCTGCTTTTGATACCAATTACTCCACTGAGCCTTGTTGGCAGTACCCAGATCATCATGAAAACAAATATTGTGATTTGGAGTGTAGCCATACTTGTAACTACAAAATGAGGTCATCATCATATTTAGATAACTTAGTTTGGAGAGAGAGTGAAGTTAACCATTACTATGAACCCAAGCTTATTATAGATCTTTCCAATTGGAAAGAACAAAGCAAAGAAAAATCTGATAAGAAAGGCAAGTCAAAATGTGAAAGGAATGGATTGGTTAAAGCCCAGATAGCTCTAGAGGAAGCATCACAGCAACTGGCTGAAAAAGAAAGGGAAAAGAACCAGGGATTTGACTTTGATTCCTTTATTGCAGGAACTATTCAACTTAGTTCACAACATGAGCCTACTGATGTTGTTGATAAATTAAATGACTTGAATAGCTCAGTGTCCCACCTAGAATTGAAAAGTTTGATATCAAAGTCAGTAAGCCGAGAAAAACAAGAAAAGGGAATGGCAAATTTAGCTCAGTTAGAAGCCTTGTACCAATCTTCTTGGGATAGCCAGTTTGTGAGTGGTGCAGAGGACTGTTTTCTCATAAATCAGTTTTGTTGTGAGGTAAGGAAGGATGAACAAATAGAGAAGGAAAACACTTATACCAGTTACTTGGACAAGTTCTTTAGTAGGAAAGAAGATACTGAAATGCTAGACACTGAGCCTATAGAAGATGGGAGGTTTGGAGAGAGAGGAAATGAGGAAGGGTTTCTGAATAACGGTGGTGAGTTCCTCTTGAACAAGCAGCTTGAATCCATAGGCATCCCACAGTTTCACAGTCCAGTTGGGTCACCACTTAAGTCAATACAGGCCACATTAACACCTTCTGCTATGAAATCTTCCCCACAGATTCCTCATAAAACATACAGCAGCATTCTGAAACATCTGAACTAAAACACTCAGCAGACATTTCTCTTCGTATTCTTCATGAAATGTGTTTGTCTTTTTTTATTACTAGTGTTTAAGTCATTTTTTTACTTGAATCAGATGGTTTCATTTAGAAAGGATTTTATTAGTTCTTGGTTTTTAAAATCCAGACTTTTTTCCTACATGTGAGATGGTTTTCATTTTAACTGGCATGTCATTTGCACACACACAAAAGAATAGAGCAAAATAATGCAATGCAGGAGGAGACAAAGAAATGCACTAAGACAGTAAAAAACATTCTCTCATAGAACAATGATCTGTTTTACAGGAAACAAAAATCTTGCCTTGAAATTTACACAGTGAGACTGTACATAATTGCATGGAAATATCTATTTTTTTCCTAAAACATTTTTCATTCATGAGTATTTTCAAGTTTTTCATACTGTACACGTTTCTTAAAACACATGATACCAGCAGCACCTGAAAATGAATGCCGAATTTGGTACACATGTGTTATCTACCTCAAGGTAACAAAAGTATGTGGCAAAACATATACCACCCATAGTGCTTCACAATATGCACTTCTATTTAGCCAGCGTTTATTGTAGTAACTATTCTTAATAAGATTCACCATTTATAAATGTTCTGGTATGCATTCTTTATAGTGAAGTGTTACTACATCACATCTTATTTATTTTAGCAAAGCAGTATATTTTCTGTATTTAATTATAAAAAGTTAACTTAGTTTTTGAAATTTATTTACAAATACACTTTTTCCATTTGGCACTATGGTTTGTTGCCTACTTAGCTGAATATATAATGTCAGCTTATCCTAAAGGCTGTCCCTGTACTTAATTTACTTAAGTATTCATTTTAAGTAAAGTGCTCACTGTGTATAGGAATTTGTATTTTGGAGGTGCTTGATCTATCTACAAAGAAAAATTAGGAATTACTTTATTATAAAATGCTCCTAGAAGTCTTAATTGTGTTTATTTTTAAAAAACAACAACTGTAATGTTAGACTTGTGTGCATGGAAATAATTAAGGTACATCATAATTGTAGTTTAAAAGTTGTACATGATAAGACATATTTTGTTTTTACTGTATGTTTTTACTGAATGATCTATTCCCCATCCCAAGGCAAGCATGAATAAAATTAGGTTAAATGTAGCATGTGGCATTGCAGTCTCTTAGAATTTGTTTCATCCATTTTATTTTATTGAATTGAATACTGTCTGTATCTTTTTTTGGTTATCCTGTTTGAAGAAAAATGACAAATAAAACATGGCCAACAAATGTGGCTCCTGTATAACTTTAGATAATTGAAATTACCTGCTAGCAGAATCTGTATCTAGTTCCACTTGCGAGCATTTTTTAATTATGGCTATAGTTTAAGCTATATTAGACAATTAGCTTCTGCTCCCTCTTTCAGCTCCATGTTGAGACTATCGTTCTTTATCTCCACGCAAAATCTCTTGACTTACCTGCACATAATTAAATGGAACTAAAGCTTTCTGTAGTCATGTACTGCTTAGCGATAGGAATATTTTCTGAGAAATGCATCCTTAGATGATTTTGTTGTGCGAACATCATAGAGTTCCATTACACAAACCTAGAAGATACAGCCTACTGCACATCTAGGTTGTATAGTATACCACTGTCTTATATGTGTCGTTATTGAAATGTTATGTGGCACATGAATGTATTTCAAAACTCAAGATGTGTATAGAAGCTTTGAGCTGCATAGTCAGGAACCTCTTTTATATATTTTTTTCCTCCAATCTTTCTTTTGCTCAAGAACTTACCCTTTTTCTAGAATATTCGCTTATTTCAATTAGCCTTTTTAAATTACCCTGAAAACTTGTCTACTATTTTACTGTCAAATTTATTACTCTAAGACAATCTTATTTTACCATGTAAATAGTGGAAAGGACTATTTGCCTTCTTGGGTAGGCCCTGAACATTGGGGCCAGGGATGAACATTGGGACTATGTGCCCTTGGGAATCAAACCCAAGACCCTTTAGTGTGTGTGCCAACACTTTAACCACTGAACCACACCATCCAGGCCACATTGAGTTTCTTCAAGATGGTTATTTTATTCTTTGTCAGATAATTAATAGATCTCCAGTTATTTTTGGCAGCGTATAGAAATTTTTTTTTCTTTGATTGAGCCATGCTTCCCTGTTTCTTCGTGTGTCTTATTTTTTGTTGTGATTTTTGCATTGGAAAAAAACAGCTGCCTTTGCCTGTCTTTATAGACTGGTTTTGTACTGGGGAAGATCTTCAATCATCCCAGCTAGAGATTCTTGGGGCATCTCAAACCTTGTATGGGGATGTATCATCTCTATTTGAGTATATAACTCCTCCCTTGCCCCCAACAGATTCTTTTTTCTGGAGGTTATAGTTTCTTGCTCCTTTTGGTGTCTGATTGAATTACGTCTGGTTCTCTGGCACTACGACGACTCCCTGAGCTCACTTTCTCAGTGGCTCCCAGGTATCAAATTAGTGCTTTGAGTCAGGTCATGCTGGAATCAGTCTCTTAGGCAGCCCTCCCACACCTGGCACATTAACGATTATTCTCTTTCCCTCCTGAGGAAGAAGCTGGGAGGCAAGCTTTTCCTTCTAAGCATGAGCTATGCTGGCTCCGGGGAGGGGCTGAGATGGTAGAAATGAAACAGCTTTTCTTTTTACCCTTTTTAATGTACTTGTCTTTGAGGTTGTCTGGGATACTGTGACTTTCTAACTGGTTTCTGGAGTTCTAAAGGCTTTATGGATTATATATTGTTAAGTTCATATTTTTGTGGGGTAATGATGCCTTGGGCTTCCTGTTCTGCCATCTTGCTTATGTCCAAAAATAATTTACTTTTTATTATATATATATATATATATATATATATATATATATATATATATATATATATATATATATTTTAATGATTTTTCAGAGAGAACGGGAGATGGAGAGACAGAAACATCAGTGATGAGAGAGAAACATTGATCGGCTGCCTCCTACCGGGGATCAAGCCCAAAATCCAGGCAAATGTCCTGATTGGAATCGAACTGTGACCTCCCTGGTTCATAGATTGATGCTCAAGCACTGGGCCACACCAGCCAAACAATAATTTACTTTTAAAATGACTAATTCTGACTTAGAGGAATGTCCACCTCTCCTGCAGCTTTCAGACTTTTTGGTATCGTCTTTGTCAATAGATCTGACCCATCTCTGAACTGATGTTTTGGCATCATAATTTTAAAAGCTATTTCTGAAGCTTGGACATTAGGCCTAATTTGGAGCCTGCATTGTTCCCTTCCACTTTTTGGGTGTTTTCTTTTTAAATGCGATTTCAAGCATATAGAAAAAGTGTATAAAATTTTTAAAAATGTATACACCACTTTCTTTGTTAGTTCATCTCATTTTGATTTGCATCTGATAAACACAGGACAATGGAATCCCTCTTTAAACCTCCTACATCTCCTACCCCTGCCTCCTCAGAAGTCGATGCTTTTCCTAGCCTTGCTTATTCTCATGTACAGTTTTATACTTTACTACATGATTTTGTAAACATGTAATATTTTCATGTTTTAAAATTTCATGACATTTTCACATCTTTTTGCAGTTTGCATTTTTTGCTCAACATGTCTGAAATTTAATTATGTTGATGCAGTTGGCTCCAATTCCGTTAATTGCTGTGTTGCAATGTATCTATTTTTTAAATAGCATTTGTTTTCAAAATTTCTCTCCTAAAAGCAAACATGTTTGCAGTGAGCATTCTTGTGAACAAGACAAGTGTCTCGGGTATGTAGCTAGCATTAGAATTGTAGGGTCACAGAGAATGTGTATCTTCAAGTTTATGAGATGTCACTTTGCTGCCCAAATGTGATTGTACAGATTTACATTCCTGCCAGCAGTATGAAAGCCTATTCAGACACATCCTCCCATAAGAAACCAAGCCTTTTCCATCCAATTAATACTACCAAGCTTGCTGTGTTTCGTTTACTTTAACTACAGTGGGAATTGGACTTCCTAATTCCAAACAACTGACAAAGTCATAATTACACCTCAGGGAGTCTTTGCAGCCATATCGATGATGATGAGTCTTGTTTTTTATTTCCTGTTGCAGTCTAGCTTGGGAACAGGGGATTTAAATCTTAAAGCTGAGCCAATTGCGTAATTTACAATAAGGAGTAAAAGAGTATCAGTAATCAAAATGTTTTCAAAATAATTTTGCTTCTATGTTAAATAATGTAGGTTCTGCATAGTATTGCTCCTTATGAGATTATTGTTTTATTTAAAAGGACTGTTTCCTATAAGCTGCTTTGGTGTGTGGTATAATGTGTGTTTAATTAGTGGGCTGGCCCTCATGCTCTCTGAATGACTGAATTGCTCACCTATCTCAGCCTTTTCAGTTCCCATTTGTTGTTAAAAATAAATAGCTCAGCCAGTGCTGCTCAGTGGTTGAGTGTTAACCCATGAACCAAGAGGCCACTGGTTTGTACAGTCAGGGCACATGCACAGGTTGCGTGTGTGATCCCCAGAGGGGCCGTACACGAGGCAGCTGATCAATGTATCTCTCTCATCAAGGTTTCTGTCTATCCCGGTGGTTCCCAACCTTTTCTTGGCCAAGCTTCTCTAATCCTAATGCCCCCCCCCCCCCCTTTGACACATAAATTCTTACTCAAAAAGTGAACTCATTCACATGGAGGAAGCCTAAAAGGCCATTAACTTGGACTAAACAAGCTTCCAAAGAACATAGCATCCATGAAAGAGAAAAATAAAAGAACAAAAGGATAGTTTGAGTACTGAGGAAGAGATCACTAATAAATTGTTAAAAATAATGTGAAGTGATATGAAAAAATAGCAAAGTTTTGAAACATAGTAGAGAACTGAAATGCATAAATGTCACAATATATGTTTACACTAGAGGCCTGGTGCATGAAATTCATGCATAAGAGAGGGTGTCCCTTAGCCCAGCCTGTACCCTCTCCAATTTGGGACCCCTCGAGGGATGTCGGACTGCCCATTTAA